GCGTCGTGGCAATGAACGTCGTCGCCTCGGACGCATTGGCAAAGTATTTGCTCGAGTCCAGCTTGTGGTTGAGGCTCCGGACGTCGCGACGGATGCGCTCTCGCCACTGCGCTTGCAGTGCGTCGAGGAGAGCGGCCGTGTCGTCGGGACAGGCCGACGGCAGCGCCAGCTCCAGCTCCCGCAGCTTCTTTGCTGACATGTGCGCCCAAACACGCTCGATGGCCTCGGTCGGCAGCCATGTCACTGCGGCCGCGATCTCGTCGACAGCGCAGCTGTCCGCGGCTTGCGTGGCGCAGAGCTCAACCAGCGACGTCGTGCCAAGCATGATTAGGTGTTTTAAACACCGTGTGTTGCGTAGGATGAAAACACGCAACTGGAACTATCACACTAGGGCCCAGCTTTATAGGAGCAACAAATCTTCAAACTACATGGTGTATTAGATGCGTTCAACTGCACCGATAACCAGAAAGCTCGTCATGCAGCAGTGGGCAAAAGTCGGATGGACTCTGTGGAGCTGAAAAAGCTGGTGAAACACGACACCGGCACACGATCTCAATCTTCGTAGGGCGACTACCTCTCTTTGCAGGAGCTTCCGAGACCTGACTCAAGGCCCATAAACTGTGTGTTGGCCCCTTGCTTAACTGTCCAAGCGCTGAGCACATGCCACGTCCATCAGGTTTAAGAGTGATGTTCTGGAACGAATGCATGCGGCTATGATTCCCAGTGGAACGTTCCAGCCTTGTTTCCGGTGATGTTAACAACCTGTTCTGCGCACTGATATTGCAATCGTCGTTTAGACAGCCTGCTACGTGCACTGTGTGAGCGCTCATCATTCTTCGGTTATCACCATGACAGCCACAAGAACCAAGTACGCTACCTTTGCCACGCCTGCGCCAGCGCACCCGGCTCGCTCGGCCAGCACCGTTTCGCGCGCATTCTTTGCCTGGGCACTGCCGCTCATTCGCACGCGGCGCCAGCTCCACCTCGACGACGTGTGGCCACTCGCGCCGGAGACCACGTGCAGTGTCAACGCAGCGCCGCTTGCTAACGCGTACGCCGCGTCGTCGTCGGTCGTCATGGCTTTTCTGGGCGTGTACGGCTGGTCGTACTTTTGGATGGGGCTGCTTGGCTTGCTGCTGCGACTGCTGGAGCTCGCGGGGCCCATGGTCTTGAACCAGGTCGTTGGCGCTGTCGATGCGCCGTCCACGCTGTACCAATCGGTGGGCCTCCTCTTTCTCTCGATGACGTCGCATGCGTTCCTGTATTCGCACTGCGTCGTCCTCGAAGAAACCACGGTCCTGAGGTACGCTGCCATTCGTATGGAGATTCGAAACGACGCTGTATTAGCTTTACGTCGGGCCTAAAGGGTCTTTTGTTCCAGAAGCTCCAGCGACGCAGCCTGCTCGTTCAGGACGCGCCAGAACTCACCAACATTTACACTGCGGACCTCGGCACGGTTCGCTTCTCAACGCGTGGATCTACCCGTGCCAGATTGTTTGCATTGTGTACTTACTCTACCGCGAGATCGGAGCTGCGGCTTTGCCGGCATCGCCGTCATCGTCCTCGCTATGACGATCGCTGGCTCCATCTCGACGGTCGAAGCGACTGCGTACGACAACATTAGCACTGCCCGTGACGCGCGCATGAAGGCCATCAAGGAAACATTTGGCTCTGTCCTCGTTCTCAAGCTTCAGGCATGGGAAAACGAGGTGGCAGCTATGCTTCACCGCCGTGTTGAGACCCAAGCCCTGAGAGGAGGCTTGGACACAGTGATGCAAATTGGAGAGTGAATTATGTAGTTATGGATGAACTGGTCAATATTGTCGTAGACACGCAATACAAAAGACACGCAGGACCAGCTTGGAGAAATGGGGACGAGGCGAGAAGAGATTCGGAGCGGGGACGAGGCGAGGGAGACGAGGCGCAAGAGACGGAACGAGTCAAAGACATGTTGTCGCAGGTGCGCTGCACCACACAGCCAAGCTCTCGACGCTCCGCTCCACAGGTACCTGCCGTCACTCTTCTCTCAACAGTACTACAGCGACTCTGTTGTAGAGCTGCTGTACGTCTGGCACCTCTTGCGGGCGGGGGCGGGCGGGACCTTGTGCATGTACGCTGCGCCGATTGGTGTGTCGGTCGCGTCGTTCTTCTGCTACACGCTGGTGCTTGGGCACGCGCTGACGCCGGTCAAGGTCTTTACATCCATTGCTCTCTTTCGCATGCTGCAAGAGCCGATGACGCAAGCCCCGGACAATATCACGGCGGCCATCGAAGGCTGGACAGCGATTCGCCGTATCGGGGAATTTCTTGGCCAGCCCGAGAAGCCGTTGCCGCCTCCTGTTTTGCCCACGCCCCCCGACGGTATGAGCCTTCTTCCTGTGTCGACGTGATCTTATGTTGTCTCTACTAGGTGGTGATGGCCATGGAAGCGGTGG